ATGCAAATTTGTAGCTGATGGCTAATGTGTAGTATGTTTAGTGTGTAGTTTCGCAGCCAAAACACGTATTCAGAAAAAATCCGCAATGCAGTAAAGCCCCACTTCAAGGTTTTAATGAAGAATTACCCTCACATCGATTCTATCTTTGTGTTTATTTTATTTTCAGTCTAAAAGCTCCTTACACTGACATATATACTTTAAATATAGCAAATTTTAAAACACAGCATATTGTACGGGCTACCGCTAGGACTGTACTGAAAGTCAAATCTTGCTACTATTGAAAGTTGTTGCCACTTCCTTTGATGTAAAAAAAAAAAAAATGGCCTTTGCACAGGCCTTGTTTCAATTTGTAAAGAATATTGTGCAGGTTAGTTTGGTCATGACAAATATGCCTCTTTTCCATTATAATATGCGATATATATATACTATTCAAATTCGATTCGAAAGTATTCAACGAAGGTCAGTACTATGCGCTTCGAACTTAAAATTCACTATTCACACAAGCCTGCAGATTACCATGACCTTTATATAAATGAGAATTATCGTGCTGCAGCTGCTTCAAAGAAGATATCGTTCAGTGAGATTAAAATTTCGAATTCATTAGTGCCATGGTCTCTAGATGGTAGAGCATCACACAGCAACACTATGGAGAAGAAAAATTCTTATAAATTAAAGAACACAGATATATAAAAGAACAATGAACAAAATGACACAAAGTATACCAGTACACTCCTCATACGCTACGTAGGAAAACTAGTAAGTCCTATTTACAGAACACATTAGGTGGATGGCCTGATTGTGATGACGGCTCTGGTGTTGTGTCGTACACATGCCGCATCGCTGGTACACGGCAGACAGCTTCACTGTCAGGTCCCTGTAATGTCAGGTCACCGCAGTATCGGTTACCCACAGCGGCTGTACCGCTCGTCCTAGTGTGCAGCCCATGAAGTGACCTTTGGCAACATCATCCTCGTGAGGATGACATCGCTAGCCCTAACTCGACTATTTCACAGGGCGTCGCTGCGACGGCCAGGGCATGTCCTTGCCAGGAACTTTGATAGCACTTTTCCGGTGAACCACGTGCTGCTGCAACCGCTTGTCCGCGCCTCTCCTCGTTCCAAGTGCTCTTTCTCCTTTCCTGGCCACATTGCCTCTCATGCTTATTGCCTTAATTCTTTGTTTTCCCATTCCTTACTCAATTATTTCTTCCATGTCCTGTCTTCTTTTTCTTGCATTATTTTTTATATTCATTTCAAGCACATTCTTTTATTTTAGTCCTTCTTCATCTCCTTCTCTACGCCTCTAAGTATATATTCATGACAGTGATACCTCACCTCCGCAACCGACATCCGATGTGTCTGGTTTCAATTTGGCATTTGGGCATTAGTACGAAGCGAAGAAATTATTGCTTGATTAACTCGGAGCACAAAAATCTGCACATACACCCATGTTGTCATCGCCTTACAAGTGAGTAGACAAAAGAAAACTCAATGTGTCTATGCCCATCGTTTTTTATATGTGACTGGATACATGTACCAATTTATCAGCTTTGACTTCATTTCTATGACCACTAAGAGGCTATCGATTTTCATAATTATAGAGACTGAAAACATACAGGCCTGGTTGCACTGTTTGTATACAGCAGCACCATTTGTATATACCGTATATTGCCGGTTATAAGTCTACGTTTTTTTCATAATATGGCCTTCAAAGTTCGGAGGTCGACCTATCATCGGAGTTTACCTATAAGCGGAGTCATAAAATGGACTTTTCAGAGGGGTCCGACAAATGGTCATCGTCCTCAGATTCACTGCTATTTGACGCATCGATAACCTAAGCAGCCGAGGCTACGGAGTAGCGGGAACTGCGATGCTATCTTTCAACGTGTTCGCCCCACTTTCCGAGCTGGGCACATTTACGGTCTGCCATGACGATCATGAAACTACAGTATAGCTATGGTGGCTAGAGGAAGAGGTGTCAGCAACAGCGTGTCGAAGATGAAGATGCGACATTTTTTCATGATGTGTCGCCGACGCTATCACGGTTTCAATGATAGCGCCACGGCATCGGCACATCAGTCAGGCAAGATTGGCAACAACACCAGCACTCGCCACATAAGGTTATGACAGTGCATTTGGCTCGCGAAGAAACACGACATGCGGTTATCACACACTAACAATGCGACATATGTTTATCTATCATGAAACTCAACATGCACCTCTCGCTCACAAAAAATGTGACATTTATCATTCGTGAAAGATGTGACATGAGTTTCTCGCTTTAGTGGACTGTGTGCCTTAGCAGCGCTTGCTAACTAGGCAATTCAAAATTCAGATTTTTCATGAAGCACCATGGGCATTCCACGGAAAAGCTGGCAGTGCCGTGTGAGCTGGCAACACTTCACGGGCAACTAAACCACATGACCAGTGAGATGCGCCCCACGAATGCGCCCACAAGCATCTCCACATCCTTTAGTGCTTACGCCTGTTCGCCATTTCCGCATTTCACCTTGCTTGCGAGCAGTGGTGCACGCGATTTGCGAAGCTGCTCAACGGACACCAAGATGCCACCGCTACACCGGCAACAGTACAGCACTGCTTTCAAGTGGCAATCCTCTACGCAGATTCCGAAAGCAACGTTGAAGAAAGGCGGAAGTTCAATGTGTCCGAAAAGTGCGTAAAAGAATGGAGAAAACAAAGGACCAATAGCTTCACGTGTGCTGTGACACGCCATTCCTTTTGCAGACCGAAGTCTGGATGATACCCTGTTGTTAAAGGGACCTCCAACCGATATTTATGGCACCTGCTTACTTGAGTGCAACGGAAAGCTTACCGGTCAGATTTTGTAATCACGGAATGGTAACACGGAAATTACTGTAGAACATGTATAATCACAATTTTTCAATTTGCGGTGATTATGCAGTCTTAAAAGACATGCTGCAAACAGTAGATGTGATCACGATAACGATTATACGCCAGTGTAATGCCAGCAGTGATGAAAAGTGAAGACTAGTTAGTAAGTACAAACACGTAATGTTGTGTTTGTCAAGCCAGCAGTCTCGCCACCACTGCTTTCTAGCATGACAATTATTTTACAAAAGCTACAGCATTTTCCAGGGGCTTCTTATGCAAGTACTTTTGGTCGTGCACATGTCATTCTTTAGACTTAGCCTAGTCGAGCTCAGCCAAGTTTTCGAAAACGAAACGCACGTCTTTACAAGTGGTCGACAATTCACGTATAGTATTTCATTTGCGGCCGTAGTTGCGCGGCTTCGATATTCATTGCTGGACAACTTGAGCGATTTAAAGGAACGAATTTTGGCTCGCATGCGAGCGTGAAGTTAGGGCCAGCATGCGAGCGTAAAATTTGGGCCCCTATCAAGTAGTGCCAGAGCGACATGTTTCGAGAGACGACAGCGGTAGTCATGAATCCGATGAACCGCCACCATCGCCACCACCAGCAGCACGCATAGAGCAGTAGGTCGACAGCCTTTCACGCGCCGCAGTAATCGCACTCAAAAGCTCGCATGCTTATCGAACACGCCCGACGTGACAAGAATCGAGCGCGCGGCCGCATGCAAGCACAACTGCACCAGTTTTCCTGCAGAGGCCACGAAAGCAGCACAACTTTTCATGCTGTACTTCTTTTACCTTGTAAGCCACATAGAAACAAACGAAAATGAACAATAACCTACATATTCAAAATTTAAGCTCTTATTCTGGTGAGCTTCAAATAATCACAGCAAAGTCATTAGGACTTCATAATTTTGTTTCATAGCTCTGGTGCTAGGGGTGCGACATGCCGATCTTGGTTACAATTGAACGCGATTTAAAAATATAAATCCTGCTCAGAGCGCGAAAAGTATGCTGTCATCTGCCACCATAATTCATGCTCTTTTCTTTTCCACCGGAATCTTATCACCCGTTCAGGCCAGTTGTGGGTCTCTTTAAGGAGGCGGTTCGAGACTGGGTTTATGACCAGAGAAGCAAAAAAAGCCCGAGTGCTTGCTACGATGACATTGAAGCAAAAGCACATACTGTCATGAAGGATATGTGCACTTCGCTGAGTTCAAACCGAGCTCTTTGAGTGAAGTGGGGCAATGGGTTAATGATGCCTGGTATGAACTGCCAACCAACCTGGTCTGCACGGCATTTTCCATGTACAGCATTTTAGTACCACCAGCACCCTCTCCGATGGCGTGCAGCTGCAGTGGCTCACATGATGAAAATGACCGTGACTGCTGCATCCTTCTCTCAAGCGACGACAAGTTATAAACGATGTTTCTCAGTCAAATAAATGTTTCTTTGCATCACTCTCTTTTATGAAAGACTTACTGGTGTGCTATGATAGCAACATAAGGCTGTGTTCGGAGTCAACTTTTATTTTTTCCTCCTCGAAGGGGTAGCAAGTTTGGGGATCCACTTATAATCGGAGAAGACTTGTAATCAGTAATATATGGTAGTATCAGTGCCCACTTCTAAGCAGCTAAAACTTCACCTCTACAGGCAATAAACGAGTGAGGATCAAGCAGTTACCTTTTGTGAGGTTGTAAACCAGATAGATATCTTTTCTTACAAGTGCATCAAGTAAAAAATGTCTGCAAGTATAAACCAATCTTATCATTGTGCATCCATGCATGCATAGATAAAGAGTGATGCTTAACACACCAGATAAAACCCGGCCTAAATAAACCTTGGAACCAAAACTGAAGGTCATTGGTACAAGAAAAAAGTTCCATGTAGAGTGATAGCCCTCGTCGGGCATACTAACAACGACACAAATATACGACATCAACCACTTGGGAGTTTTTTGTATCCAGGTATACTTGAGACATATACCATTGTAGGGTTCTCAAGAATTCGTTAAGTGTTTGCTTTATTTTACTTTTCTTTATACAGTATGTATATACAATCTGGCCTTCAGTTTTCTAATTATGAGCATATGTATAGTGCATTTTAAAAAAGAATAGTCATCATGCAATACAGTATGTGGGCCAGTACCTCCATAAGTCGTTCTAGTTGGAAGAGCTTGAGATGGAGGCATTCAAAAGAATTACGGAAGAGGTCTCGTAAGCCATACTCTGACATGATCTTGCAGAAAACACCAAAAGCTTGCTCTTCTGGCATCTGCAAAAAATAAGAGAGAACTTTTAGCCCCAAACAGTGTTTTTGCAGGAAACCACACAATCTGAAAGCACCACACCACACCACACATCAAAGCATAACATCAACTGGCACGTGAAGCCTGATATGCTTTCAGGGTGTCTACCAATTTGTTATTTATAAATTCGCCGACTTTTCCAGGTTTTCCATGATGGTTAAAAACAAATTCCATGACCGCCATGTCTGCTTGGAAAATCTGTGCACCGGAAACAATCCCTCGAGTGGTAAAAAAATCAGGTGCTCTATATAAAGTAAGTAAATATATTTACCAGATGCACTCAGAATGTTCTGAGCACGTGCGGTAAATGTGAAAAAATACGTATATCTGGCCCAAATGAAATCCCTGAGCCAGGCGGTGAGCAAGTCAGCTGCTTGATGTTCGGAAGAACCACAAAGCAAACAAACCAGTTAAAAGTAACCCCAGATGAAAGTTTGAAGGAGCCTGCAATAGTCCGACATCGCAGTCAAAGCTGGTAGGAAACGTAGAAGCGGTGCCATCTGACGGCATCTGTGCAAAATGAGGTCACGAGAGCCTGACCGGTTCTGCCACTGGAGTATAATCTAGTTTTCTATAATGGCTATAGCCCACGCTGCTTGGGGTGTGGAATGAATTGAATTAAATATGATCGACCTGAACTGCTGTATTCACTGAATCAACTATTTAAGACGTGAATTGGATTAGATTTAATTCGACCTGGATTGCTGTATTTACTGATGGTTTGCGTCCCCACTTAATTTGCGCACCTCTATAAAAAAAATCAATAACTACTACTCGCGTATTCTGTGTACCTTGCCTCGACAACGAGTAACGACAATGTTGCAAGAACAGAGCAGCACTGCAAATTTTTCTTTTTCTTTCTTTCTTTTTCCTTTTTCTGACGAGCACATGCATGTCTGTATTTGGTGTCTCTGGGCTCTAACGATTGCAGTGCACGAGCTACCCGCAATAATGTGTAGCTGAGGATGTTTGCTGTTGCATCACCAATAATAATAATAATAATAATAATAATAATAATAATAATAATAATAATAATAATAATAATTGCCAGGCACTCTTTCTCCATGGCGGTGTAGTTTGTCTTGGCTCTCGTGAGCGTACGGCTTGCATATGCTACGACATATTCAGGGAATCCGTGTTTGCGCTGCGCCATGACAGCGCCGAGGCCTACACCACTGGCGTCCGTGTGCACCTCCGTTGGGGCCGTAGGGTCGTAGTGGCGTAGAATGGGAGGAGATGTCAACAAATGGCGGAGCTTCGCGAACGCGTTGTCGCACTCGGACGACCACGAATTGAGGGGCCCGTTACTTCCAAGGAGCTTCGTCAGCGGTGATATGATCGTGGTAAAGTTTCGTATGAAGTGTCGGAAGTAAGAGCAAAGGCCCACGAAACTACGCAGTTCTTTGACGGACGCAGGTTTCGGGAATTCGGCCACGGCCCGAAGCTTGGCTGGGTCAGGAAGAATGCCATCCTTAGACACGACGTACCCTAGGATGGTGAGCTGCTGTGCTGCAAAGCGGCACTTCTTCAGATTTAGTTGCAAGCCGGCATTGCTCACATGTGCAAAAACATCTTTCAGATGTTTGAGATGCGTGGAGAAATCTGGAGCGAAGACAACAACGTCATCGAGGTAACACAAGCACGTGTGCCATTTTAAGTTGCGCAGAACGGTGTCCATCATGCGCTCAAAGGCCGCAGGTGCATTACATAGACCAAACGGCATAACGTTGAATTCGTACAAGCCGTCGGGTGTGATGAACGCAGTCTTCGGTCGAGCGTCATCAGCCATGGGTACTTGCCAGTACCCCGAGCGCAGATCGAGAGAAGAAAAAAATTTGGCTCCGTGAAGACTGTCAATTGCGTCATCGATGTGCGGCAGTGGGTAAACATCCTTGCGAGTAATCTTATTGAGTCGTCTGTAGTCCACACAGAACCGCACAGAACCATCTTTCATTGCAACAAGAACAACAGGAGACGCCCATGAACTATCCGAGGGCCGCATAACGTCGCGTCGGAGCATATCGTTAACCTGCTCGTTAATTTCCCAATGTTCAGCAGGTGACACATGATAAAAACGTTGCCGTAATGATGGATGGGCACCAGTGTCGATACGATGTGTAACAATGAACGCGCGACTGAGAGAACTTCGCCCGACATCGAAAAAAGAATGATATTCTTGCAACAGGTTTAGAAGCTGGGAACGCTGTACCGACATAAGGTTGTCATCAATGTAGGGGCCAAATACATCAGGAGATGATGGATCAGAAGTGGAAACAGCACTGATGGTACGCGAATTTGGACAACGCGAGTCATCGGGTATGTCCAGGACGTGCGTCATTAACTGGTTCCACTCTGCCGAGACATTCCCCTCGACCCAAGGTGACAGTGTACGGGGATGGGTTGGTCACAAAAATAGCGGCGTTGCCCTGAGTGATTTGCATGGTCGCAAAAGGTACTAGCAACCCTTTCCTTCTGCAAGCATGGTCGGATGGCGAAACGAGTACAATTGTGTCGGAAAGACCAGCGCAGTAGACCGATACACCCGTCGTTGAGCTTGGAGGCACTATGGTATCGTCTTTCACGAGAATATTGCTCAGTTTCGAGGAACTGTCTTCTGGCGTCAAATACGAGAAGAGTGAGAGTTCAATTTCGGCGGCCACACAATGGATGACGGCGTCATTGCGGGAGAGAAAATCCCATTCCAGGATGACGTAATGAGAGCATGCAGGAATGATGATGAATTGGGCGACATACAGAACGTCCTGAACGACAACGCGAGCTGTGCACCCTGCTGTAGGATGGATACGATGCGAACTAGCAGTACGAAGGGACAACCCAGAAATTGGCGTCGTCACTTTTCGAAACAAGCAGCAAAGGTTTTCGTCCATAACTGATACTGCAGCTCCAGTGTCAATAAGAGCAGATGCATGAACACCGTCCACAAGCACGTCAATGACATTAGATGGGCGGCTCTGAGGGCTTTCACAATGCGATAGCGTCGCAGCCCTTGCCTCGGGGACTGCAACGACTAGTTTTCCCGCTCATGAGCAGCTGAACTTGGCCGCATGGGGGACAAGGAACGACGTCGTGGAGACGGTAACATTCGAGGAGATGGACCTGGGCGAGAAGGCGGTGGCATAGATGGCGGTTCTTCGTGATAGGGACGGCTGAGCTGGCCAGCAACAGGCGAAGAAACTGGAGCCGGCTGTACGCGATAGCAATAACGGGCTACAGGACCGGCGTAACCGTAGGCAAAGCAGATGGGCCGGTTGTCGGGTGTGCGCCATCTTTTCACCGGGGTATGTCTCACTCATGTCGCAAGAGCCGATGGACGAAACAGTGGCTGCATGGTGGGCTGAAGCTGAGGCTGAGGGGTTACGTCAACATACGTAGCGGGCATACCCGCTGCAAAGGACGGAGGTCGAGCGGCAGCTTGGGCGTAGGTCAGAGGGGCGGGTGCTGGAACGACTTGAGGCGGCCTGGCGACCACTTGAGCGTAACTCAGGGGCGCAGGAGCCGGAGACTGTTGGAGGTAGTACGCAGGCATTACCTCCGCTATTTCCTGCTCAATCGCTTGACGGATGGGAGGGAGAAGGGTAGTAGCCGATTGTTGAACAGCCGGTTGGTGGGCAAAGGGTAGGAGAGAGAACTCAGGTGGAGACGCTTGCTCTCGTAAGGCTATGGCTGTTCCTTTGCAAGCTGTTTGCCTGCATGGATGCGTGTAGAACCATGTTTTAAAGCGAAGAAACACGGAACACTCCGGGTTTTTATGAAGTGTGAGGTCGCACCGCCAACTATACCACATGTGCATCTGTTATTTTGGGTTCAAGAAAACCTAAATTGACCCAACACGTTTATATTTCTATTTTTTTTCTTCATCACGCTGTGAGCACCGTGTAGCTTGTGTTCATTCTATCGGTTGTGGCTACTGGCTAAGCGGAACACCTTGGCTTATGGTGGCCATATATTCTGCAGTATAAAATTTCGACACGTATTTATTTAGCGAAGCGACTTCTCGCATTTATTTTAAAATTAGAAACTTCACTTTTATCACTCCACATTTACCTTCCTCAATTTTCCGGCCAATTTTTTTTTTTTGAATTATCGACAATGATATCATGAACGAATGACATTACTTTTTCCTGTGCAGCCCCGCCACTATCAAATGGCATACTTTGCACTGAATGATATTTGAACCTAATGAGCTGAACACCTCCAGTGTGACACAGGTATTACACCGGGGTCAGAATCAATCTTTGTCGTAGCCTCCAAGATTGTGTCATGGAGGTCCTAATGCCCTTTCGAGTGCTTCCACGTTTAGATTACAATTTTTGCTGTGTTCTTGCGCATTTTTTTTTCTAACACGTCGACACTTACTGCTGTCTGTGTACTATATTTTCATGCGCCTGCCACGTCGATGCAAGCTACGCCCTCGTGCACCACTCAAGCTATGACAGGTGGACGAGGATTGACTAAGGAAGAAGACTGTCTTAGCAAAGAAGCTAGGCCTCACGACATCATGCACGATTGCTTAGGACGGGCACACCTGCAAACTCTCCAGTTGTTCGGGAATGGCCTCAAATCTCCTGAAAAACATCGCTAACATCACCATGATTAGAAAGTAATAACAGCAAATGATAGAGGTTCTAAAATTTTCTTGCGTGCTAAGTGCTCCATAAAGGGGCACTGAAACAAATTTTGAATATTTTGGGATTGTAGCTCTAAATAAGAACACAAGTTTCAAGAACCCTAAAAAGAGTACTGTGGGGCTTGGAAATGCATCACTTATATCTTTAATACTGCTACCTTAAAAAGAAAATTTCAGTTCCTATATTGGGGAGGCATCTTCTCCGGGACGTGTCATGGAAGCGTGACGTCGGGGCAAGACAACGATTCCTAATGTATACTAGCAGCCAATCTGCCAAATGCTCATGGTACACGTAAAAAACAATTAAAGCATTGTCTC